TTTACCTCATGATTATAGCAGAACTGTAGCCTGTGTCCTTTGGGATCATCTGCAAGGGATGGTGAATCTGTGCCGGTTTAATGAAATACTAAGCAGTGGTGTTACGTCGTCCTCCAGGCCTTTACAGAATTCCATCATGTAAAGATAATCAAGGAAACTACCTCCCTTATTATTTCCTCAGTTAGTTGTGGTCAAAGGCCAAAATGATACTTCCTTCATTTGGATTTACTTTGTCCTTCTTAAATATTTCGATGTTCGCCACGGCTGAAGCCGGGAACCGGTATGCTGGCTAGGCAATTGGAGAAGTCCCACCTGCTGCTACATACCGTAAAAGCTGACTGGTGACGGACGTCAGCGTTACAGATTAATCTTACTTACATATAAGTCTCACTTCCCCCTTAAGGTTTTGCAAGAGCATTTATTTCTGCTGTAGCAGAGCAAAAGCCCAGCAACTCTCCTGAGCATCGCATAGTGCAGACGCCATCTCTTCAGCCTCCCACATTAATTTCCTTCAAGTGATACCAAGGGGCCTATATGTTACCTTTACACAATCTCTTTGACAAAATTTTGGCTTTTATTTATAACCATTTGTGTAGAAAGTATCAGTTTGTGTTTGCTTGTACCTGTCGTGCAGGGATTTTCTTCACCACAGAGCACTTAAATGGCTCCTGCATCTGCAGCTGCTGAGGTTTCGGTTTCTGCCACAAATAAAATAGGCTGCTGCTATAAATAAAAGCTTTGTGTCCGAGGGGGAGGTTATGGAGGACCAGGGCCGGCTGGCAGGCAGGCAGGCAGGCAGGCAGGCAGGAGGCTGATCTCCTTGACTTAGAACAGCTTGCTTAGTGGCCGTTTGAAATTGGAACATTGAAAACAGAGGCTTACGACCACTTCCCCCACTTGTGACTGCCGATCCAACTGCGGATGCTGGGCAATGGCTTCCTACTTGTGACGGAGGCCAAGTCCTGGGGTCACGTGATCCCCCTTGGCGACCTCCTGGCCCAGCAGAGTCAGTGGGGGAACCAGGTCCAACTCACAGCTGTGTTGCGGATTGAACGACCGCAGCAGTTCCCTTAACAACAACGGTGGCAAGGAAAGTTGTAAAATGGGGTGAAACTCACTTAGCAAATGTCTCTCTTAGCAACGTAGCCTTTGGGCCCAATGGTGGTCGTAAGTCGAGGACTGCCTGTGTGTGACTAGAAGCCTCTTGTCTTGCTTCCCCTGCGGCCCCAGGCGTCTCTTGCGCTTGTTGACCCCTCTGCACCTTCAAAGGTGCTAGCCTGTTGCAGACGTTGGTGGGAGGAGGCCGGGGTGGAGCCCAGTCGCCTTCGGCGGCAGCAGCAGCAGCAGAGCCTTAGCCAGGACCCCCTTCAGCCTTGCTCTGTGCCCATCCACGGGCTGCCTCCTTTCCCCCAGTCCTGCTGGGGGGCGTCCATGACACTGTCCGAAAGGATCCCGGGGGGGACACCAGGTCCCCAGGCTCGGAGCTCTGTCAGATGCAACAGTCATGCATTAGGGCGACCCAAAAGAAACACCTCCAGGTGGAAATTAAGCAAACTGACAAAGAAGAGCAGAAGAACTCCCCTAGATGAGGCTGGAAGGAAGGCGGCTTGTCTGGAGATCCTCCGTGGGGTTTTATATTGGCTGGGCTTACATAAACTCTCCAGCTGTTCTGAAATGGCAGGCCTGTTTTTAAAAACTTTTCTTTCTTCTATATTTCTGACATTTTCAAGCCATCTCCTATTCTGTGACACTTTAATTATTGAGAACATCAGGATTCTGACAGTGAAACATGCTATCTATTCTCTGTTCGCTCGTTCATTAGTTTTAATTAAACTCTTTAATTTTATTTATGCTGCCACAGACTGATTAACAACTTGCCAGCACAAATCAGGAAGTCTTAAAAAGCACCTTGAGAAATCTTCCTTTCTCTAAGCAAAAATCCGCGGTAATAATGCCGAGATCTGCAGGGTTCCATAAGCCCCGGCTCAGAAATCCTGCCAGGAGCCCCCACAGCAAGTTTAACCGTTTCAGGAAAACGACCTAGGCTCGGTTTCCCCTACAGAAGCATTTCCCGCTGTCCTGAGTGCAACAGTCCGAATGGCAAAGGCCAAAGCCCGCTTCAGTTTTGCCCTGCTCTGCCCCCTTGGGGAAAACAAGGCTCTGCCGGCCCAGCTCTCCTTCCTGTCCAGGAGGCAGATTGCACGACCTCTAAGTCTTCCCTCTAAGTCATGTAAGGGGAACACACCCCGCTAACCATTCTTGAAGGGCAGATCTTCAGGGCGTTGCCTTTATCTCATTCCCCAGCCCAACAAAGCAGCAGCAGCCTTTAGCTCCTCCAGCCCAACGAGGAATGTCCTCTCTCTTCTCCCAACATAGTCCTGGCCATGAATATGATCCAAGATGCTTCACTTTCTAGGACTGGGATCCATCCAGCTCTCCCTGGCCATTTCAGGTGCAGCTGCAAGCATTCTCCAACTCCAAGCCAAGTTTTCTAGGGCTGCTGTGTTAATTGGCAGGAAAAGAATGGCTTAAAAAAACAACAACTTGGCCTTGTCTTGTACCTGCCAGATCCCTGCCCTCATGAAGACCATCCATGGCCTTCAGCGTCTCCCTTACACTCCAGCCAGTCTATCCCAATCTGGCAGCAAACACCCAGGCGCTTGTGGCTTGAGGAGGTAACAAGAATAATCTAATAATCCAATCCTTTATCTGTTCGAGTCCCATGGACTCAGGAAGGGCAGAGCACCTGCTGGCCACCCACTAGAGCCAAGAGAGGATGTGGCAGGAGGGTACATTATGCTGCAGGAATCTCAGTTCACCACACTGGCCCTCCAATACTTTCTCCAGGCTAGCTTAAATGTGGTTTTGTGGCTTTTCTGGAACAGTTCTAGACATGTGGCAAAAATAGCTTAGACCCCGTGTGGGCTGACTCCCTACTCCACATCGGCCACACTACAGGTAACGTATTGCATCCAGTTCAAGTTAATTATCCTCTTCATTAAAATTATGATACAGTTGAAACGTGTGCCTATGTCTAATCCATGGAAACCTTTATAAAATATGAAGGTTGGGCTATTTCTGTATTTTGCATGGCTTTTTCCAATATCATAGCTGATATGATAGCTCATCATGACTTGATGTTTGTCAGGTAAATCCAGAGGTCGTGGAGAATGAACAAGTGGCGTCACACCTGGCTTTCACTGGATGGATGGATGGACGGGCACCCGTCATTTGCTGACCCAATTGCAATTTTAGGACGTTGCAGATACTGAGAAAAAAAAGTCAAGGGGCCCATAAGAGAAACGCTTGGAGACTCGGGTGAGCAGAAACCGCCATCCGTTGCTGGGTGCGGAGGTGGCTCAAAGCGGCCCGAGAAGGTCCCGCAGGCAGAAAGGCGGGTGGGGGGCTCCGGTCCTCGGGCAGCAGCACATTCCCCCCGGCTCCCAGGACAGGAGGCCCCGCGGCTCCCCTCGCCCCTCCCCGCCCCCCACCGCAGACGGGGGTGGGGGGGGCTCCCGCGCCCTTTCCGTCCCCCCCCCCCCAGAGCGCCCTCCGGGATGAAAACCGGCGCGCTTATTCCGGGATGGCGCCGTTCGGGCTCTTTCGTGTCGCTCCGTCCGCTCGTATCCACGAGAAGGGCGGGTCACGTGACCCACTGGGATAAAAATCTAATCAACTAATAAACTCTAATGTTCCTCCACCTTGACAACTTTAAGACGGGCGGACTTCAACTCCCAGCATCCCGGGCCTTCAAGGACCGCCCCGTCCCAGCCAATGGCCCACCCGCAGACCGGAAGACGGCGGCCTTCGCGCAGGCGCCCTGGGCGTCCCCTGGCCGGAGCGCCGGTCCCGCCGGAAGTAGAGGAGCCGAGGAGCACATGCGCAGAGGCCTGCCGGGGGCCGTGGCGGGTTGAAAGCAGCCCCGGAGTAGCGGAGCGGGGCTGCCGGCGGCCTCGCCTCCTCCCCCTCCTCCTCCTCCCGAGCGGAGCGCCGTGGCCTCGGGGTGCACCGGGCCCGTGGAATCCCGGGGCTCCTCCGCCTCTCAGTAGGTGCCGCTTTCTCGGCCGCCTCGGTCTTCGGCTCGCCTGCCGCCTCGGGGCCCGAGTGGCGGCCGCCCCAGCAGAGCTACCCTCGCCCGGCAGCCGCTGCCTGGCCCTGCGGCCGAGAGAGGGAGGAGGAGGAGGAGGAGGAGGGCAGGTGGCTCTAGGAAGCGAGCCCGGCTGCACCTGGGGCCCTGGAGTTGGACAGAGGGCTGGAAAGTGGCCGGTGGGCGCCTCCCCCGTTCAGCCCAGCCCACCTGGCAGGGCTGGTGTGCGGGGGAGGGGGGAGCGGCGGCCTCTCCTTGAGCGCACCAGGATCTCCCCATTGTCCCAGTCCGTTTACCTGTCAGGTGGGCAGCCTGCCCCCCCTCCGCCCCCCCCGGACTGCCTGGGAAGGAGGCTTCTGGGGGGGGGGACTCTTTCCTTAAGGGCTGGTTTTTAATAACGACTTTTCATATAGAGACACATATAAACAAACCAATGTGCAAGGACGGCCACAGACTCTGGGCAACCTAGAGTTGAACTAGGTCAAGGCGGGATAAAAGCCGCCTCCTCCTCCTCCTCTTCCTTGAGGGAGGGAGCAGGAGAGAAGAAACCCAGGGAGGCTCCCCGTGCCATCCGGCTGCCAAGGGACCTGGGTGGACTCGCCCAGGCGGAGGCTCTCCTGCCGGGCGGGGGCAGGGCTGGTTTTGCAGCCCAGGTGTTGGGAAGGGAGGGTGGCCGGAGGACCAAGGGCCTCTTCCGTCCTAACTGTTGGGGTGGCAAAGGGGGGGGGGGGGCAGGGGGGCCTCTCATTGTATCCTGGAGCGGTTCCTAAATAAACACTCACTGTGAAGGGTGACAGAAGAGGGAACAGCCTTTCCTAAGAGGAACCTTGTGGCTGATGATCCTTTCTGTGTATCTCTTCTTTGCAGGCGAAATGCAGAAACCACAGATACGGGGAGCTTGTTTCCCACATTAAAACTTCAGTCATTTGTGTACATTACGCTTATAATTCAGTTGGTAACAACATAAGCAGATTCTCAGGCCAGGCCGAGCGCCTGAGGTTCATCTAGTTCTTGAGCCAACTAGAGCATGAATAGGCAGCCTCATTTGCTCCCTAGAAAGTAATGTTTCTGGAGTTAATTGTGTATCGTGATATATTCTTAATTATTTAAAAATTAAACTTAAATTGATGAGTTTTGTCCTTTATGTAAAATTTCCCATAATCCTTAGATGTGCAAATAATTTCACGCATCTCAATAAGCAAACTATTTAGTTATCGTAGCAATTCTGAGAGCGGATGGTAGTGTGTTGGTCTTTAAGGTTGCAGAACAATCGAATATACCAAGACTGTAAACCTTCCCAATATGATGCTGTAGAGGCTGTTGAATATAATTGGAGTCTAGATGAGATTTTGAAGTGTATTATCTTTACTGATTTTGGGCTTCATGGTTCCATGAAAATTCAAAATTAGAGCTGCTTGAAATGCAGAATCTTGAAATTCAGAGTCTGAAACGGCCTTTTCCTTTTGTGTTTGAACAGGAGATGCCTGCCCAGAAACTCCAGCCGGAAGGAAGGCTTCAAGCCCAGACAATGGACGGCAGCGGCAGTAGCAATGCAAGTCGTAGCGGAGCAGATGAAGCGAATAAGCCAGGGGAGGACGGGATGCCCCGTGAATGTCATATGGGGGACCAGAGGGAGAGGCGGGCCTTGGGGAACAAAGCACCGCCGGCGGAGGCTTTTGTGGGGACCCCCCGAAAGGGACCCACGGTGCTAATTGATCGGCAGCAGATTCGGTCCGTGGCCCCCCAGGACCAAGCGCTTGAGCTCAGAGGCCTGCTGGGAGTCGAGGTCTACGACCAGGAGGTCTTGGAGCACGGAGTCCTTCAGCAGATAGACAAGGCGATCGGGGAAGCCGCTGAAGGGCGTCCGGGTCATGACGCCGCTGAAACGGGCAGCCAGTCTGAATGGGAAGACGTGGGGTAAGCGAAAGGAGGTTTTTACGGTCTGCCTGGGGGTCACTTTGGGACCTTTCCTGGACCCCTTTGAAAGGTCAGAATGGGACAGTGGGCTTGAGATAAAGCGGTTACGTCGGAGAGCAAAGTCTCTGCGTCATCCCTTGATAATTTCCTCTGAAACTTTGCCAAAGGGGCCTGTGGTGATTCCTGGCTTCATTTCAGCCATGAAAAGCCTTTTCCATCCCACAGAAAATAATGGTTTCAAGCCATCAAATGTCCCCTCCCTGACCGGCGAATACTAAGAACACAAGAAGTCCGGTTAGTTCACTTAACATTGTGAAAATATTAAGGTGAAACTGCTGATTTGGATAAGTTGCATTGAATTCAGGATGATAATAAATGCTTTGTGAACTGAAGTTTACAGTTAACACACACACACACACACACACACACACACACGGTCTTGCTGCTAGAGCTCTATCATCAACACTGTAAAGCAGGCTGCGGCTCCTCAGAAATAAAGGGATGTTTGTAGTTCCTATTAATATAGTTATGATCCCTTTTTTAATCCAGTTATTTTAATGTCATTGAATTTTATTTTCAGACCATGTACATCCTCTCCAAAACCACCCGTTGCAAACCATCTGGAGCAAATTAGGCCTCAGACTGATGCTAATGAGCATACCGATAGAAAACTGGATTCTGCAAAAGAACAGAACTGCAACATAGTAAGGGACGGTTACTACTTGTGTGTGACATTTGTTTTAATGGTTTCTGCTGTTTGGAATCATCCGTGTTTAATACTTGTTAAAATTCATTTGAAATTTTGATTTTATATACATAGTGTTGCTTACTGGTAAATAATAGTTGGTTGCGGATTGTTACTACCTCTGAAATCCTCACAAAACCAGCTATTACTAAATCCTTACAACATGCCCTAATGAAAAGAAATATAAAACCTTGTTCAGCTCATTCTTATTTTTTTCCATGGAGAAGTGATTTTTCCAAATGTTTCTTGTCCTAATTCTTCAGCCATTGTTCATGAAGTCCTTCACAAGTCATAGCACTGTAAAGTCAACCGTTGTGTCTTCATGAGATATGTAGGAATACTTAGCCAGCCTATAGGTTAAAAAAATGGAACCCTCAGTCAAATATATCAAGCCAGGTGCCGGTTCATGATCAGGAGCTCCTAAAAGGAGTGAAAAATTCAACGTAGACAGAAATTTTTAAAAAGCAGCAATAGACAGCCTGGTGAGAAATTGTAAAGAACGGGTTTTATATCTGTTAACTAAGGGGAGGTGAAGAGATAGTGAAACTGTATATACTTTTCACAGTGAAGGTGGCAGTCACTTCCTTAGGTTTTCTTTCTTTCTTTCTTTCTTTCTTTCTTTCTTTCTTTCTTTCTTTCTTGACATTTTAATATATTTATTTTTCTTTTTAGCTTGTGTTACTGTGTTTCCCCAAAAATAAGACTTAACTGGAAAATAAGCCCTAATACGTCTTTTGGAGCAAAGATTAATATAAGACCAGGTCTTATTTTTGGAGAAACACAAGTAAGTTTTTTATTATTATAATTAAAGCTTTTAATAAAAATATTATTTAAAAAAAAATCCTAAAGACAGGGTGGCCGAGGAAGGATTTCTTGTGGCCTTAAAGTAAAAGTAGGAGTGACTTTCAGCTTCTAACATAGAATCCTTCTCATATCAAAATGTAAATATTCAGGTTTTATCTAATATGGTTTTGCATTGAACGTTATATATATACATATACATATATATGTGTGTGTATATTATATATGTATGTATGTATGTATATGTATATGTGTATATGTTAAGTTTTCATGGGTATTTAAATGTATGGTATTCAGCTTTGTTCGGGTATTTTCCCATGTCATTATAGTTGTGCTTTTAAAGTTGTAGCAACGTTTCAGCAGAATCTCATCTGCCATCATCAGGCTTCTGAATAGTGTTCATGGCCAAAGCGCTAATTGCCAGAACCAAACGCCTGGCAGACAAGACACACATAAAGACTGAACTATGCACTCTGACTAAAGTACTGACAGCTAACAGCTTCCACAAAAGCAAAATCACTGGCTTGATCCACAAAAACACACTGAGACATAATGGAGACCTAGGAGATGAACAGACCTATGGAACTGTTGTCCTGCCCTACATAAGAGGTACTACAGACAAAATCAGTAAGATACTACACAGGCATCACATCAAGACTATCTTCAAAACAGACAGAAAAATAGCAGCCATCCTTAGAAACCCCAAAGATAAAATTGACCTGGAAAACCAAGGCATATACGAAGTCCCCTGTGCATCATGCCCTGCCACATCCATTGGACAGACCATTAGAAGAATAAGTACCCGCCTGGATGAACACAAAAATGCAGTAAAAAAGCTGGAACACACTTCCTCACTAGTCCAACACATGAAAGCAACAGGTCATAGCATCGACTTCAATGGCACCAAAACCCTAGCCACTATAGAAAACCCCAGCCACAGAACTATCAGAGAAGCCATAGAGATTGAAAAAAGACCTGAAAGCATGAATAGAAGAGATGACTCCACCAGACTGTCAATTATCTGGAAGCCTGCACTCACAAACCAAAAAATGTCCACACCACTAGCCAGGCAAACACCTGGGCACAAACAGATCCCCCCTGAAACCTCCAGCTCAAACACACCCCAACCAGGCACCCAGATGAAACCTAGCTTCCTAACAAATGATAGCCGTCCATTTACTCGGAGCCAAGGTGCACTAAAAGCCTCCAATACAGGAAACACAATGTTGCCAGCCAATCAAGACACAAAAAAAGCCACAAAATAGACAGAAGATATTAGAAACACCAATCAAGCAGAACACAGCAAACTCCAAGACCAATAAACACAGACCAAGACTCCCAAGCAATCAGGATGAAGAAAAAACCATTCTGGCATAGCAGTAGGCTAGCCCCAAATTTAAAACTGAAACAACTGTAAAAGTCTGACTCACAGACGAACACAATACAGAATTCTGCCTGATGATGGCAGATGAGATTCTGCCGAAATGTTGCTACAGCTTTAAAAGTACAACTATAATGACGTGGGAAAATACCCAAACAAAGCTGAATACCATACATGTAAGTACCTGCGAAAACAAGAAAACACACACACACACACACACACACACACACACACACTGCCTGCCTGTCTGTCTGTCTGTCTATCAAAATTGGATTTCACAGCCATTTGAAAACGTTGCCTGTAGTAGTGAATGAGGAACTCAATGTATTGAGTGAAGAACATTGGAGAGTCTTGCCTTGGGCCAGGAAGACAGAAAGGGTAGCTTTTCCCGTAATGTGACTGGATGTTTTCCATCGCTCAGGTACAAAACCTTGGCAGACTCGCCGTGCATAGAAAGAGAGTTTCCCCCACTCAGCTCTTACTAACTTGCTTTTATCATTTCAGGAGCAAGAGTTTAAGAAAATGAAAACGAAACAAAAGCACCTTCAAACTGCAGGTAAAGACGAAGATCCTGATGACGGGACGGTCCCTGCTGCCGTTGGAGGAGACAAAGCGAAGGAGTCCAGGGATGACTTTGGAGGCCATTTTGGTATATGTTTGCTTCAAATGAAATTTTGGTACTTGAGTGCAAATGAAGCACGCTAATGTATTTCAGCGGATGGTTCTTTAGAGAGATTTGGCACTGTTTTAATTTTGCACACCTGCAAAATGGGATCTGTGAGTACCCGTGTGGGAATTTTTTCACAAATGAAAGTAAATCTTGGGATGGCTCCGAAGGGACGCCCGTCCCCTTGAGATCAGAACATTGGTCTTAATAAATTGCAAGTGTTAATCAAATGAACGGAGCTACAGAAAATGTTTAAGTTGACAAAGAGCATGATTGAAATATATTTTTCATTGCAATATTATCTGTCAGCAGTTAAAATTATGCGGAGTAGAATAACGTCGTTTTAATGGAGCGAGCTATCTTTTGAGTATTGGTGGTTGTATATGTATATTGAAACACTAAACACCCACTGGAGACTTCCAGAGAAAATATGACTTTGCCTTTTAACAGTTAAAATAAAACGGAAGGCTTGAACAGCAGGAGGTTTGTTGGGGTGAACCGTTTGTCTGAAAAACTTGGAATCCTTCAGTTCCAAAGGGCTGCTGGGGCCTCCTGCGTGATGGAGGGGTCCAGTTTGGAATCCCCCAGAGAAGGGATTCGCTCTGCTGAGCAGAGTCGGGAGAGGAAGAAGGGGAAGTCTCTCTGGGTGGTGCCTTGGTAGAGCCTTTTTTAGTCACTTAGTTGGAGTTTGCCTTTCTGTAGCTCACATCCGTTATTTCACAACCTGTTTCCTGGGACGATGGAGAATAGGGCTTGGTCTGCTTCTAACAGCTTTCCCAACGTGGACAAATTACACGCGTGGCTCTTATGTGCACTTGGTGGTGGTGGTGTTAGGAAAAGGACATTCTGTGTAGGCCTTTCCAATGTGCTGAAGAGCCTGGGTGTCTCTCTCTCTCTCTCTCTCTCTCTCTCTCTCTCTCTCTCTCTCTCTC